CCAAATTCCAAATATCCCAATTCCCCAAATTCCCAATTCCCCAAATTCCCAATTCCCCAAATTCCCAATTCCCCAAATTCCCAATTCCCCAAATTCCCAATTCCCCAAATTCCCAATTCCCCAAATTCCCAATTCCCCAAATTCCCAATTCCCCAAATTCCCAATTCCCCAAATTCCCAATTCCCCAAATTCCCAATTCCCCAAATTCCCAATTCCCCAAATTCCCAATTCCCCAAATTCCCAATTCCCCAAATTCCCAATTCCCCAAATTCCCAATTCCCCAAATTCCCAATTCCCCAAATTCCCAATTCCCCAAATTCCAAATATCCCAAATTCCCAATTCCCCAAATCCCAAATTCCCCAAATTCTCAAATCCCAACCCAAACTTCATTTACACCTACACCAAAATTTTTCCTCATCAATAAAATAACTAAATCTCCCTATTAAAGCACTTATACAATTTTTCCAAGAAAGCATACACTTTTAGCAGTGTAATCGAGACGTTGAAAATGTCTGATTCGCTAAACGTACATTAGAACATATTCGCATCGCATTCACGACAAAATTGGACTCGTTTTAATCTCGTACGTTTCATCGCATTCGTCATCAGATTTTTTCTTTCATCAGCTACTTTTCCCAGAATGGTTGTTTTATCTTCGTGTTCGATTGAACGCAGACCTAGCTTGTAATTAACGTTGCATTTAATGTTCGCGTTGTGCGTTCTTTGAAATAAAGGGCCACGTACTCGATGAGTGTGTCATTGATTGACTGAAAGTAATTAAAAGATTCGTTACGACTTTATTCCATACTGCTTCGGACAAATTTTTGTATTATAATATAGTATGAGTTATGTTCTGTTATCTTATTTGAAAATATTAAATATAAATTTGTTTAGTGAACTTGTATTATACTTCATGTTATTAGAATTCTTAACATGTTTAAATCATGTGATTATTTCTATGATATTGATGATTTTGTAGTTAAATAATACGGGAAGTGTTTCTTCTAAATAGGTTTATAACACATTCAAACGTAATAAATTTGTAGGGACATAATGTTTATATGACTTTTACATAAATTTTAGGGTAGGAATATAAACACTTTTACAGCTTTATATACATTTCGAGAAAAGCATACTTTCTTCAGAATTTGATATTCTTCCGAGTTATAGGATCAAAAGCAGTTCCTCTGAAAAATGGGTGGCCCTAAAAAATAAGTAAGAACGATTCGTCCTAAAGGTATAAATTAAAAAAGAACTACCATATCTAAGCAGTTCATTTGCTGTTAGAGCTCAGTTTTTCTGTCAGACTATAGTTCTAGAGAGGATCAATTATTGTTATTCTTAGATACATTGTCGCGAAGACCATAGTCTTCCTTAAATATACAGCAGATGTACATATAACTGGGGCTTAGCGAGCACCGGCTCCAATATCGATAGAATTAAATCATCGATATTTTTATTTAGAGTTATTTGAAACAGCTACGACACAGTTAATGTTCTCTTAAAATATTCAGGCAAATACTGTCTGAAAACATTGATAAAAACTCACATAGCGTATTAACTCTACAAAATTACATTCTTGCACAGCAAAAA